GTTGTCAAAACCATGGAAACAACTAACATTTGATACATGTTAGATAGCATAAGTAGAAAGTAAATTTAGTATAAAGATGACAGAACAATTTTTTGAGACACAAAGCTAGAGGGAGTGGTGCAATTCTTATTATATTTTTTGCTGTCACGTAGGTGCCACCACTCTTATTACATTTCTTCGATCTCTTGCCTTTTGGGTGGTAAACGCCACCACTCTTGCCACACTTCTTTGATATCTTGCCAGTTGGGTTGGGTGGTAGTTTTTCATGTAACAATATTTTTTTATTTAAACAAACTAATGTATATATAAATTAAATTTTCACTACATTGAAATAAAAATTAAAACATTTAATCAATAGAAAATAAAACATAGGAATTAAAAAAAAAGGAATTAAAAGAACGACACACATGAAACATATAAAAACAAACACTATTCTTTTTTCAATCTTCTATTTGATATTTAATGCTAACTAGAAAAGTGACCCCGCATCGCGAGGGTCGGATTTCGATTAAATCATTTCCTAAAGGAGTTTACATGCATTACATGCCAACCTCCAAAACTATTAAACTCAAGATAACCTTTCTATAAGAAGGCATCGGCCTTAATGCCCCTTAGCTGAAGGTTGAATATGTTCTACAACACCTGCCCAGTGAAGATCATTCATCAAATGTTGTTCTTCTGCAACATGAACACCGAGTTTTCCTCAATAAAAAGTATAAACTGAAATCATGGAATGATCTATTTGATTTACTAACTATAAAAGATGAGAATTAAAAGTATATAATTAGAATTTTGAAGCATAAGTGCTTTGTAGTGAAGTTCGAATTTAGGAAATTTCAGGGCATGGTTATTGATTTCAAAATCAACCCCCATCGTATCATCTGGTGCCTTTTGAATCTCAAAGACTTGGACCATGTTGTATAAAATCCGGTTTTTCTTCACTGCCCTATTGTATACATTGGCAGGCATGGATAATACATGTACATGAGCATTTGAAACAATCAACAAAAATACAAATTTGGTAATGATAGTAACTAAAAAAAATTATTGAACATTAAATAGTGGAATTACAATCAGTATACTCCTTTCTTATATATCATTTTTGAGTTGGAATTGTACAAAACAATGTTTTTAATTTATCAAAGATGAAAATTTAGACAATAACATAATGGATTCTTTTTTTTTTAAATAAAAATAGACTTGAAAGAAAGCATACCAGTAGTTTTTTTTCTTGTACACTTTTTTATCCTCTTTTTCATATATATAATATACCACATACATACTTGCATCTTTGAAAGCTCAGAACAGATATAACTTCTAAGAGTGCCGATGCAACAACCATGAGTGCACATGGAGGCACCAATTTGAGGTATTTTTCCATGGATGTCCATACGTGAAAGGTCCATAAGCAGGCTCCCATCTAGCCAAGTTGGCCTACACAAACCAACAATATATATCTTATATCATTAGGACTATGAATACAATACATTAAAAACGTAAGGAAAATAAAACATATCGTAGTACCTTAGCTACTTATGTTGCCTTTTAATTAAGCAGACATTTCTATCCCTCCTGTTTTCCATCAGATCTTTCCATGTTGTCGTTTCCTTTTTGAAGTGGTCAGCATCCAACAAACCATCGTTTGTGGACTGAAGTTCTCTGTTAAATCATCAAGGTTGTTCCAACCGGATTAAAGGTCACCGATTAGCTGACCAAACATGTATGCTCTGATTACTACACATCATCTCTCTTCTGACTGCAATTAGTCTCTGTGAAATCACAAATACCCATAGCTCCCTCTTCCTGCATCTAAAAATAACAAACATGGCAATAAAAAGAAAAATCAATAACCTTATATAAACTTAAGGTGTGTTGGAACACTAAATTGACTTCTTGTGTGAATTTTTGATTATATATATATATATATATATATATATATATATATATATATATATATATATATATATATATATATATATATATATATATATATATATATATAACCCCAAATGAATCAACCTTGTTACATACCTTAGATGGAAACAATTTAGTAGTGAAACTTCATGACCTCTTAATATCATGTAACTGAAATATTAGGTCCTTGACATTGCGACTTGTTAATATGGAGTTTCAGAAAGTTGATTTCATTCAATAGACAGGGGAAAAAGTTAACCCAATATCGCTTCCATAAACTGGGATTCAGTATCTTCTTTGTCCCTAGACTGGGTTCTTCCGTGAATATGTTTCCTCATCTATAAGGAAATTGAGCGACCTACTATCCATTAATGTGACATCCCCATTTTCACGGCCAGAAAAGACCGATTTTGTTTATGCTTTGTAAAAATCAAAGTACTTCTTTTCATAAAAATGTTGCGGAATTTGTTCCCAGAAAAACACGATAAATACGTTATCAAAACATTTTCGAAGAAACATATTTTATTCATTTTAAAACGTTTGGGATGTCATCGTCAATACGGAAACATAAGCATAAACGGAACTTACATTTATTTACACTAGTGATCTACATCTCTTTAATCTCTCCGTGTAATGTGACTTGATATCAACACTTGTGATATAAATAAACTGAGTGGGTCAGGTTAGGAAACTTGGTGAGTACATAGGGTTTTCAACCCATAATAATATAATTATTATGTTTAAACAATCAAACAATCGATCCAATTATCCATCTGTATTATCTTCTTTACTCTTAAGGATCTATCCTAATATTCATCTATCCCGTATTCGTTCATTCTGAAGTCCTTTGCTTCCAAAGTTATAGGACTGGCACTAAATCCATAGCTGCCAATGCTCATTCGTAAAGCACTAACTCTATAACTGTTGGGTACTAAATCCATAGATACCAGTGTTTATCTAATAGGTACTAAGTCCATAGCTACCAATTCATAACATGTACTAAGTCCATAGCTACCAGTGTTTGTCCAATAGGCACTAAGTCCATAGCTGCCGATGTTATTTGTTAGGCACTAAGTCTATAACTGCCAATGCTTACTCAAATCATATTTTATCTCTCATCATTCATCTACCCATCTCATACCCAACATACTTGTATATTTAAAATACGTATACAGTTCAAATCATTTAAAACAAGTATAAAAAAAACGTTCATCCAACATAGACAACAACTATTCATATAATATGCACACATAGCACATAGTTTATATAAAATACTTCATATCTATGTGTAAGATGAAAGTAACTATGGACTCACAACACGTAATCTATATCAAATACTTCATATCTATGCATAAGATGAAAGGGACCATGCACTCACCTGAGAAGGTGGTTACTCGGTACTTGGACAACGCTTCGTTTACTTTAAAATAATTTCCTTCGACGAAACCTAGTATTATTACCACTAGATTTTAGTCTGATATTTACAGTGACTAATTATGACACTACTAGAAAAACAACCTTTTACGACGCTCATTGCACGTCGTAAAAGGCTCAGACGACGTGCAAATGTGCGTCAAGGAAGGCCCTATCATAAAGAGAGACGACGCGCTTTTGCGCGTTATCTATAGACGACGCGCAATTACGAAGCACGTTTACGACACACAATGCGTATCATGGAAGGCCCTGTCATAAAGGAAGACGACGCGCATTCGCGTGTCGTAACCTTATGACGCGCATATTAATGACACGCAATGTGTATCAAGAAAGCCCCTGTCAAGAAAGGCCATGTCATAAATGAAGATGACACAAGTTTTTGCATATCATAATTTTAAATGTTTAAAAAAAATATTATTTATACATTTACTAATTTTCAAATTAAATAATACATTAAAAATCTCATAATACAAAATAAAATACCATAAATAACAAAGATAATTCATTTCACTAATATGTCAAATACAAATAATTATTCCAATAGTATGTAAATGTAACACATTGCTAATATTTCATAATATTTATTATAGAAAACAAAACATGTACAACATTAAAAGAAACCAATGACTAAATTCTCCTTTGACAATCTCATTTGACAATTTCCTTTCTAAAAAGAATAACCTAATGTAGGAACTTTGAAAGGCTTCAAGGCATGGAAGGAGGTTGTTAGAGCTGTCAGAACCTGCACATGGCACATCGGTAACTTAACATGCAATACAATACAAGATGATATGATAGAGCTGGTATGGCATCCAACTATATATATATATATATATATATATATATATATATATATATATATATATATATATATATTGTCTATTTTCTTTGCCAATGCCAATTAGGCCACTAAGCTTAGGAAAATGATATTTTAGTAGTCAAACCTGACAGTTCATAAAATCAAACACTGTCCCCATATCTATTACCTGAGTAGCACCAAATGTGGTCTTCAATGCTTTGCTATTTGATGCAAACTTAATTTTCTTCAACAAGTTGAGTAACTTCTTGTAATACGACATTACATTTAGGTCCTGCCGAGTCACCAACCTGCCATTATGTATGTAATCAAAAAAATGGTGAAATGAGTCTTAGAATAAAGAAATATGTCTAAAAATTTTCTATTGTTTTGAACACCTACATGATCAGAATGCCCAACAAAACACATAAACATACCGAATTAACTTAATTCACAAATTGGAGCCTTAGCAACCATCGCAATAAGTTTTCTTCATCGTCTCAGTAGACTTATTTTATTACCCATATTAACAAACAATTTTATGTAAGGGCTAAATACAAGAAATAGCAAAATACTTCCATTTCTTTATATTACAACATTATAGATTTATTTTATTTTTTTCTTATTATTGATGCATCATATGATAAAAAAAAGTCTACCCAATTCCAACGCTATACTTCCAATCTTTTTCTTCTTACCACATCATACTTTTAAAGATCAATCCAATTATAACAACGAAATTGCTATAATAACTGAGTAGATTTTTCTTGGATTTATCCCTTTATTTAGAATCACACATCACAAAACAAAAGCATCTCTATATGAACTAAGCTTTTTTATACTCGTTTTTGGCGGAAATGAACCAAACACCTAAACACCTAAGCCCTCGATTGGAATCCAATAATACAATAATGAACCAAACACCTAAGCCCTCGATTGGAATCCAATAATACATTAATGAACCAAACACCTAAACACCTAAGCCCTCGATAGGAATCCAATAATACAGTAATGAACCAAACACCTAGTTAAACTGAGAAACAATGGTGATTTTTTTTATACTTAGAATCCTCCATATAGAACGCATATGCCAGAACTGAGAATATCTCCACGTTTGACTCCTTTTTCAATGACCAAAACGCCCCCGTACCAGCTCACAAGTGCACACCCTTGGGGATCCTTCCACAATGCCATGCAGCTTTGGAGAAAACCGGAGCCATTCCTTCAATAAATCTGCAAATTAAATATCACATGTCTTGTTATAAAAAAAAAAAGTAAAAGTATGTTGTTATTTGTGCTAAAAGCGGGTACTAGTATCGCCATGGATAGAGGCAGACGCATTCTTTAAGATATGGGGGTACATGCCCCCAACAACAACTCAATTACCTTATATTTGCAATAGAAAGATGGGCTTAAATATATTATTATCAACCGATACCCCCAATAAGCAGCCTAAATTGTTAAAATGAATAAAAACTAAAAGGTAACTTAATTGCCACTTGGCAGCTTCCCCTTTATATAATAACTCATATCCTTGGATATTTCTTCACCCACTCGATGTGGGATCGCTAAGTGGCAGCTAACATTGATTTCTTTTTCTTTTTTGGCCTGAATTTACTTTCATACATCTTTTTGTTTTTGCTTATTTTAACTTTTCCACTAACTTATGAATAAGTTCCCACTTTTAAACTCGTTTAGTTGTTTTCATTTGTGGTTATATTTATCACTTTTAAACTCGTTTAAAATGAATTTCTATAAAATAATTATTTATGTACTTTTAAGTACTTAGCAATATATAACGAAAGCTAACCTTAAAAACCATAATCCGAGCCAAATAAAGGGTAAAAAAACCAAAAAACCACAAGACCAGACTAGATATTTTGACCATTTAGCTCGAGCTTATCATATAAATGGCCCCAACATAAAAAATTCCAGGATCCGCCATTGGCCATGTAACCAATTAAACCTGAGAATATACATAACCATCCATCAAAATGATACAAAAACTTGGTAAAAATGTAAAATTTCAACACATGTTCGTTTGATTTTGCACTTGAAAAGTGGTGGAACATAGCAGCAAATATGAAGTAAGGGCATCTTCTTAATCTAAAAATGGGAACAATATCAGTCAAAAGACCCCAAAGAGGTTTAATAATCCATGGAATTTGAATAATCCCATAGTAAAACTGTGCTTCGGATGGTTGTAACTTTTGCACATCTTTAATTTAGTATTATTGTATGCTCACATGATACAGACCAATGCTCGTGCCCTGATTGATTCTGTACACAATCACGACTGCTAGAACAAATTTCCAGCTTAATTCATCGCTCATCAAATTCATTAATTTTAACCATAAATAATATTTATGTGCGGGTAACCCAACAACCGACGGGTTCAGGTCAAGTTCTGGAGATGGGAATTGGGGAGGGTCTAATTTTGGTAACAGTTTCCCAACTCCAAAGAAGATCTTGATAAGTTTGTTATTGGTCAAGAAAGAGCTAAAAAGGTTATCCTTTTTCTATCTGTAATGTTCTGATGGCCTAAAATAAAATTTGTTTTCTTGTGATTTTGATATATGGTTCTTTACCATTTTGAAATAATGAAGCTTATTGGGAAGAGTTTACAAATAATTTGAAAAAAGAATTTGCGTATTTGGTCCTAAATTAAATATTTAGCTGGATATGAAAAGATGTCTGCTTATCATTCCATTAATACATACATACATGTGCTCTCAGTGGTAGTTTACAAATTACAATCACTACAAGAGGATCTTTATGGACAGTTCACAAAAGTAAGCACATTGTTCCTTGTGTTGTTTAATTTGGAGAAAGCATTCTATTTGTTCCATTTTGAGTATGAAAAAGTGATGAGTAAGGTATAATTATATAAATTGAGTGGAATGTGGAGCATAGGGACCAAATTTGTAATTTACTCTTATTTTTATTTAAGTAAAATGTTATAATCAGATTTTTATACCTGTAAGGACTCCTTTTGAACTTTTCAGCAACTGATAGATGTATCTCTATATACTTATTCCTTCCCTCAGCCTTAGAGTTCAAAATATCAAGGAGGAAGGAAACAAAACAGATGGCAGCTGAACCACATTTCTCTTCCATCACATCCTAAAATGGAAAATTCATGATTTTACCAGGGGTAAAAAAGGGAAATCCAGAAAATTTATAAAAGGGATTCAGAAAACTCACTGAGCTAGTTAACTCGGTCACTTCAGAAGGAGCAACATTTGTTTCTAGCTGAACAAGGGCAAATGATTCAATTGCAGATGCAGTTCTTGCTCCTTCATATGTGATTGGACTCTCTTTATCTGCACCAAATACTAATATAGTTGGGAACCCCTGTACCTTAAACATGCTCATTAAAGATTGAAAGGTAAAAAACATAATCAGTTAGTAATAATAAAAAATAATAATATTGGTTTAGATAAAAAGGATAGAAATTCAAGAATACCTTTTTGTCATCATAGTTCACATGTGCAAGCTTCACCTTTCCTTGTAAATTCTTTGTAGCCTTCTTCCCTTCAGGTGCAAGCTTTTTACAATGTCCACACCTGAAAAAAATAACATATATATAAAAAGTGATTAACTTTTTGAAATTTATTATAAGAAAGTAAAGAGACAATGTTGGTTTATGAATTTATGTTCAAGAGTGGAATGATTAATTACCAAGGTGCAAAGAATTCGATCACCCAAAGATCTTTACTTTTAACAAACACTTATAGATTCCATCAAAAAAATATAAATGATAAGAATTTTGGACCAATCAGTGAACCTTGGACCCAATCCTTTCAAGAAAAATTAAAGCATTTGAGTTGATTTTGAATTTTAGACTAGTTGTTTGGAAGGAGGTAGTATTTAGTTGTGTTTATGAGCAATAATTGTATACTACAGAAGGATAGACAAATCCTCATGTTCAATCTAGACAAATCCTCACAGACAATCTTTACGAGCACAGTCCTTCTCCACCTCTCATGGATTCCATTAATGATCCCCTCTGTGATACCAGCCTTCCCAATCTTAAGCTTCTGCAAATGAATCAAGGTCACTATGTGCTTCAATGTAGCTTTCGTTTTCTTCACCATCAACAGCAGACAAGTTTTGAACTTGTCTATCCCAAATCTCCTGGCATTTTTCTCATGTTTATTGTTGAAGCTGCAAGAAAGACATCCTTTGACCATCAACAGCAACAACAGACAGTTAAGTATTAAAGAAAAGGAAGAAAAAAAACAATTATGATTTAGAGAGAATTTGGAAGAAAAAAAAAAATTAATTTATAGTGCTCAAATATATACTACCTTGATCTTTTGCATCATAAGTAGACGATTCAAGAATTTCTTTACTAGTTTCATAGTTGACTTCGATCAAAGCCTTTACAACTGCAGAAGCAACTGCTTCTGCAATCTCAACTTCCGTTAATGTTGCAAGGAAAGCTGCCTAAAAAAATTGAAGTCCAAAAAGTCAAATTAAAATTGTAAAAACTAAATTAGAGGGGTTTTCAGTATGATTATGATTATCTGATTCTTTAATGTTAAGAATTAAGATAACTGGATTTAATTTAAACATCTTTACCTGAGTTATTATAGGGTTACTAGCATCATCAAATGGTGTGAATAGAAACTCAAACAACTACAAAACAAAAGAAAAGAAAAGGATGAAAAAATACAGTTAATTGGTTAAAGGTAAAATAGAGCAGAAACGTCAAATAGTCCCTGTATGTATTAATAATTGGATACCTGATACATGTGCTTGACATATAGCTTCCCAAACAACATCTAGTTCTAAGCCAATAGCTATAAGCTGAAAGGGAATAATCATAAGCTTTTTTCTTGATTGAGAAGATGAAGTTGAGATATGAATGAGAAATTGCATGCCCTCTTATTTGTTGAACGATTGAAGAAATAGGGCAGGGTAGAAGCATCCTTTTCATACCTTAGTGCAATCACACCTTGGGTTTGTAAATGCGGGGTTCTTCCCTTAGAAACTTGAAGAAAAAAAAAGAGGAATACAATATCTGGTGAAAGGTAGGTGTCTTGAATACAGAAGCAAAAAACCTAGAACAGATCGGCTAAGCAAGTAGAGAAACAAGAGATCTGTGCATTATTTTTTTGGAGTAAAAGATAGTAGTTGGAGATCGAGATCTAGAGAGGAGAGGAAAGACGAATGAGGGAACTGACCTGGAAATTGGTGAGGATGATGATGAGGAAGCAACGACTAATAGAACTGATGGAAAATGAATCCACGATGACGACGATGTCGGTGAGGACAAATTTGAAGATGATGGTGACGAAGTGTGACTTTGCCGGAGTGGTCTCAATACATGATGTTTCGGTTGTGAGGCCAACATCTTTCCTTTTTTCTAGTAAATTCTATATGTGAAGTAACTATATCTATAATCTATACGAGCCAAGGAAATGAAATTAGAAATTTAGGGTTCCGATTGATCTATTTCAATTAGAACAACTAATTGAAGTAATTGTACATGTTCTCTTCGTCTTTTACATATTAGAGTAAACGAGGGTGGCGGCCACGGCGAGGCCAGCCATGACTGTCATGGCGATAGCTATTCCGACATTAGATTGGGATCCAGAGCCACCTCTAGCACTGACACCGCCACCAGTAATCCACTAAATCGCACCAGAACCTCCATTGCTTTTTCCAACGGTGCCTTTAACAAAATCGTAACTTGTCCGATGACCATCACCACCGGAGAAGACGTCGAACATAAATGAGAATAGCAACACAAACAGGAATGGAATTAGATTATTAACCTTGTTCCTCCTCCTCGTCGTTATTTTCCCCAAATTCCTCCATACCATAACCTCCGATCAAAAAAAGCCCTAGCTTACGTTGTGCAGACTTGAAGAGTCGGTGTGGGTTGGAGGTAGTGGATGCGGGTGAGGGGAGGAGACGAAGCAGATGAGATGTTAAAGAACAGATCGATACGAATGTAGGAGAAAAAGCGGGGTTCAAAATTTTTGGGGATTTCATTTTCCCTCTTAGAAGAGAGACGCGCGTTCCTTAAAAAAATATAAAGCGACAATCACAGAGGGCACACATTTTAGATAAAGTGCCTTCCGTGTTTTTAATTTTTTTACATGAGACACTAATTTAAGGGCTCACAATAATGCGTGACCTAAATCCTGATTTTTTTTTGGAGTGATGACACTTTTTTAATGTCACTCTCTTTTGCGTAACATAAATCAACGAGTGTCATGGTTTGCGCATCATAAAAAGGTCTTTTTCTTGTAGTGTGTTTAATACATAATAAATTCACATGTCTAATATTGAAACATTCAAATCGAAGCTCTTATCTTTCTGAATATAGAGTATTTAAATTTTAAACAAAAATTTCCTTTCGACTAGAAAGAATCAACAAAAATTTTAAAATTTTAAAAAGTCCCTCATATGTCGCCCAGATACCCTCAACATCTGATTTTGTTGATTTTGTTATGCCTTCAAAAACCCGTTTCTCAATAATACTCGGTCTCATATCTTCTACATTGAGTTCTCTCTGTCCATTCTCTCCCCCATTTCTCTCTAAAATACGATGCCACTCTTTCATTGTGCTCAACAAACCCATCTCGAGATGAATGCCAAAGGCATCTCACCATCACAACCCTCCAGATCTTTCTCCTCGATGTATGTGATTTTTTGTTGTTAAAGCTACAATCTTTTATCTTCAGTTAATCTTTGGGTGTTGAGTTTTTCTTGCAGACCAGATGATGACTTGAATAAGAAGGAGGTGGGTTTATAAGTAAAGGTTTTGGTTTTGTTTACTTCACTACACCAAATATGTATTTGTTAATATGTTGTTTTGCTCTTATTCTCAGTCTTAATTTGGTTCGATCTAATGTTTTTATCATTTAATCTTACAACTTTTGTTCAATCTTTAATTTTTCTTCTAATAAAAGTTTACATCTTCTATAGGTTTCAAACATTCTTCTTTGTCCTTGTTCATCCATGTTCAAAAAATATATATAGGAAGATCAACGCTTATCTTGCACATCTCCTGTGATTAGAGGTTATATGGCTTTTGACTGGTGGGCACACATTAACGTGTTAGAAGTTTGAATTGTTTCTCACTTTCCGTGGTATATGGTGCAAAGTACCTACTTCCAGATAGAATATATTTTCTAATATTTCATTTTTTGCAAGTTGATATATTTATAGATTCTGAAAAACTTGAATTAATGAGAGCTCTCCTTAGCCGCTTGTGGTATTATTTCAGTAGTTCATATAGTTACCTTATCACATTCGTATGCAACCTTGAACATATTTTACATATTAGCTTATTTTGACTATATATCTTTAGGTAAGCAACATGCACTCCTTATTCGCAACCATAAAAGTGACATTGACCGGCTCATTGGATGGGTCTTGTCTCAGGTAATTGTTTGGAAAAATACTGACTTTGTCTCTATAATATTGATATATTATTCATTAATTTTGTTTTTTATTGGCAACGTTCAGTTTGTCTTGGTAGCACTCTTGCTTTGGTTAAAAAATCATTAAAATTCCTTCCGGTATGTTTAAATACATTTTAAATTAGGCAACATAAACTCGTGGAATTCATATATATCATCAAAATAAGATAGAGGGTGCTTTTTTATGCAGGTTATTGGCAGGTCAATGTGGTTTACAGATATATCTTTCTGGATGGAAAGAAACTGGTCCAAAGATAGAATATATTGATGGTGAGATTTCAGCATTTCAGGAATCTTTCATAATTATGAATAACAAATGTTGATGATATATTTCTTTTTTTGTGTTTTTGTTTTGGGGGGAGGGATGAACTGCAGGAAGGCTTTGAAAACCCAAGAGATTTCCCAATGCCTTTCTAGTTAGTTGTTTTTTGTAGCAGAGACACAGTTTACACATGCAAAGCTTCTTGCTACTCAAGAATATGCTGTTGCAACAAAGTCACCTATTCCTAGGAATGTTTTGATTTGGAGTAAATTGATGAAGGTAGATATTTGTTACTACTCGTTTCTTGAAACTCATTTGGTTGAACGATTTTTCATTAATTTGATGAAAGTATCCATATTTTGGTGTATCCAGCAAGTGGTCAGAATTAATCTTGATCTCATTAAGTTCGATAAGCCAAGGCCAGAGTAACTTTCTTGGTTTTTCACTACTTTATACATCAAAACTATTGTGATGATCAATCTAATTAAGCCTTTAAGGTATAAACCTATGCCTACTTCATATTTTTAGAATTTTTTACATTAAATAATAACTTTTATTATGATTAATATGACATTCTCTCGAACCCCACTGTTTGTGCTCATATTATACTCTTGCTTAAGTACTATTTAGTACCCCTCCAGAGGCTATTGATATTGATGGTTACGTTTTTCAATGTTAGTTGTAGTGGATAGCAGTTCATTTTCTGGTTCATTGTAATGTTTTATGTTAGGTTCGATATACCAAGATTGAAGCAATTGAGGGGGAGGTTGCACATGGGTTATAAGGTTGCTCCAACGTTCTGCTTTTACAGTCCCACTTAAAGAAATATATGCATATTTCTCTCTCTTTACGTCTCAAGAAATATGTATATATTTTTTACATATATCTATTGTGTAACATTGAAAATCTTCTCTATTGTTTGCAAGGATCCAAATATATAGCCCCTCTTGCTGAACGTTATATAAATGATCTTCAAAGTACTGGTATAATCTAATTGCACTGCACATTAGAGACTAAACAATTTTTTTTTGTTACTCGTAGGCTCGTATAATGCAAATTGTAGAAATTTAGCTTTGTTGCTTTGTTGATAAATTCAAGTCAAGGTATAATAACTTCATTTAATAACAATTTATGGTTGGGTTACTTCTTAAGTTAATTTACTATTATTAACAATAAATATTATGTCCATTACAAATAGTAAATGTCTCCCAGAAAGGGGACAAGAAGCATACACCAGGGATAATTAGAGGTACTTATTGCTTTTACTTATGTGTAGTTAATTTATAAAAGGCAACATATTTTGAAATTGGTCAATGGTTTTACCATCATTTAACTTAATTTATAAAGGGTAACCTTTTTTCCCTTCAAAGTGAGTTTATTTATATATATGCATTGATTTTGAATTTAATTTTTGACCTAAGGTAAATATCTTCACTTTTTTGAAATGTTTTGGTGAGGTGGGAGAAGAGAGATGATCATATGGTTTATCTCCTAAGTCCTAAACCTCGTAATGGTTGTTCATATGGAGTAATATAAGAAAGAGGATATTATGGTGCTAAAAATAGATATGACGGTGCAAGAGTGGGTATTATTATTATTATTATTATTATTATTATTATTATTATTATTATTATTATTATTATTATTATTATTATTATTATTATGACATATAGTTTAATGTTTGTGTGTATGTAGGCAAATGATGTAATTACCGGATGAAATGGGTTGAGCTAGAATTTGAAAATGATGAAGATGTAAGATGATATATTTCTTGGTTTTTTAGAACTTTCATCTACGAAAATATGCATATAGAGATTATGTTATTAGTTATTTATTGAACTTTTTAGAATATTATATTTATAGATGATACAAATAAAAAATCCAATTAACAACAATATTGTTTAAATGAACCCTCACCCTCTCATCATGCTTTGACGATTTGTACTAAAATATAGTCCATTTGTTATAGTGTAATTGATTTGTGCACTAGGTTCTATGTCGTGTTTTTTTAGAAAAACTAATTGTTAGAATACACAGTTATTCATCCCATCCATTTTGGTTGCCATCTGTATATATTTATTGCGAGTCCTTTCGCAACCTAACCGAAAAACTAAAGATTTTATCCAAACCGTTTAACCAATCATCGGAAAAATCATAAAGAACAATTTGATAAGCCAAAAATAGGTATGATTATAGGTTTCATTTATGTTGAATATTTCTGAACATATATTGCAAATCTCTTAAGCATTCACCATTGGTACGAGCCGCTACCGAATGGAATTTATTGTCTTTTTTAGTTATTATAATCTGAAGATTAAAATTTCAAAATGTTTTTATTGAAATTCTTAGTAAGTTTTAGACAAATTTACATAAATGGTTATGTGGTTACCTAAATCTTCAGTTTTCATCCCATATATTTTTTCGTTACATATGGTCCAAATAGTTTTCATCCTGAAAAGAAACTAACTACCAAAACAAAACATTTGTCGTCCGTTGCTTTGATAGACACACACATACAATCCATAAGGTTTTCATCCAGAAAAAAAAATAATTGTCGAAACAAAGTATTCACCACCCGTCGCATTGCGCGGGTAACGACTAGACCTTTAAATATCCAATATAAAGATTCAGCAATCGAAGATTATTCAATTTTGTAAAGATTTTACCATAAATATCAACTTCCGAACTTGAAACGTCCATGGCTAGACCTTTAATATTAGTCTCTTACTTCTGTTTCTTACTATCCTTATTCCCAGAATATATGCAGCCTCTCCGAGGTCCTTCATAGCGAAACACTTTCCAATCCAGGACTTGACCTCCTACAAGGTTGGGACGTCATTTCCTATGAGTAGTATGTCATCGACATACAATACGAGGAAGCTCACTATACTCCCTTTGGCCTTGACATACACACATGACTCTTCTTCGCTTCGTAGAAAGCCAAACTCTTTGACCTTCTCGTCAAAACAAAGATTCCATATGTGAGACGTTTGCTTCAATCCATAAATGAATTTCTCAAGCTTACACAATCTATTTGGATGCTTTGCATTGACAAAACCCTCTGGCTGATTCATGTAAACATCCTTAGCCAACTTTCCATTAAGAAAAGAAGTTTTCACGTCCATCTTCAATATCTCATAATCATGAAACGCAGCTATTGCGAGCATCACCCTGATAGACTTTATCTTGGCAACGGGCGAGAAGGTCTCATCATAGTCAACTCCAGGAGTTTGAGTAAAGCCCTTCGCGACCAATCGTTCTTTATAAGTGTGTACATTCCCATCCATGTCAGTCTTCTTCTT